TGGTTCCAGGCCCCTAGAGGTCCTGGGTGGTAGAAGAAGGCAACAGGTCAAACCCCCTTGCCTGTGACGAGTGGCTTTTACACTGCAGTCTGCCCCAGGGAGTGGGCTAGGTGAGGACTGGCAGTAGCCCAGACTCAGGCGAGGTGGGGGGTTCCCTGGGGAAGGGAGACCCACGGAGATTGTTGGGGCATTGCCAGGGGGCAGCACCCCAGAGAAAATGGGCCCTGGGTCTGGGGGCCCAGTGGTGGCGGATCACCGGCCTGCAGAGGGCGCGCCGGGCTGGAAATGGAGCGAATTCCCTGAGAGACCAGCCGGAGGCGCCGCAGGGGTGAGTCCGCACGCTTCCAACAGGGTAACCCCAAAAGGGAGCTGGATTTTCTGCCTATGTACAGTCCTGGGGTTGGGCGATCGCTCCCCAAAGGGCCAGCCAATGTGCAGGATACCCCTGGACCCATATCCTGCCAGACCCCGAGGCACCAACATTCCAGAAGCACGATTAAATTAAGAGCCCACACAGAGGGGAACCCTGGAGGGTAGGAGAAGCCAGTGACTGATTACATGGGAGAGAGTCGAAGGACACCCTGGGTAATGAACAAACTAACCTCCAACTAAAATATCTGAACAGAGGGCGTAGTATCATAAAGATACAGTAACTCCTCGCTTAACGGTGTCGTTCTGTTCCTGAAAAATGCGACTTTAAGAAAAACTATGTGAAACGAATCCAATTTCCCCATAAGAATTAATGTAAATAGAGAGGGTTAGGTTCCAGGGAATTTTTTTTTCATCAGACAAAAGACTATATTATATAAACACACACACACTGTATACGTTTTAAACAAACAATTGAATGCTGTTCACAGCAATGATGATTGTGAAGCTTGGTTGAGGTGGTGGAGTCAGAGGGTGGGATATTTCCCAGGGAGCCTTACTGCTAAATGATGAGCTAGCACTCGGCTGAGCCCTCAGGGGTTAACGTGTTGTTGTTAATGTCGCCTCTCACACAAGGCAGCATGAACACAAGGGAGGGGAGACAGCATGGCAGACAGAGACAGACACACACCGTGTGTGTGGGAGTGTGACGAAGTGGCGGGTTTTCTTGTTTTCGGTGGAGTTTCAATGGTTTGCATGCAGAGGGGGTGGGACTCAGTTTCCCTGGGTGTTACTGGTTTAACGAGGTGAGGGGAGAGGGAGTGTGTTTTGCAGAGGGCCGGAGAGAGGACGTGGGGACCCAGCCGATGGCCGGGAGGATGGATACCCCAGCGACCGGTGACCTGGCGACCTGGTGACCCAGAGGCCCAGCTGAGGAGACGCAGCCGGTTCTGGCCAGTGGGAGGACAATGGGCTGCAGAGTGAGGAGCCAGTGACCGGACCAGCCGGTTCCAGCCAGAGGACAGAAGCAGGAGAGGAGGCCCCGGTTTACAACCCTGTTTACCTGGAGAGAAGACAATGGACAGAGGCGGGGCTTGGGGTAGGGGATATCAGATGCCCAGCTGGGAAGCAGGGGGGCTCTGGGCTGGAGAGGGGGAGCAGGCAGAGCCCACCTGCATGCAGAGAGACTGGGATGTGCTGTGCTGAGGGAGGCCAGGCCTGAGGCCCTGAGAGTTTCCTGTGCTGTGTTCAACTCTCAATAAACCCTCCTGTTTCTTGCTGGCTGAGAGTCACTCCGGGCTAGAGAACAGGGTTGCATCAACCCCTTCAGGGGTGGAGGCCCGGGGGGTCCAGAGCGAGTGGACTCCCTGAGGGGGCCCACGGCAGAGACAGACGTGCTAAGGCTCAGAGAGGTGCGGATCCAGGAGGTGGAGGGGCCTGACCCCGAGAGAGAGTGGACCCCCGAGAAGGGCTGTCTCACTGAAAGGGGCACCCCCCCCACACACGGACCGCACGGGGCCAAGAGTGGGCACGATCTGTGAGTCTGTGACAGGGAGCGAGAGAGATGCACACTGCCCCTTTAAGTAAGCTGACCCACTCTTAAGTGCATTGTCTTTTTAAGTGGATCAGGAAGTTGAGACAGCAGGGGCTGCCCCAGGCTCTCTCTGTCTCTCTCCGTGTGTCCCCTCCCTGCTCTATATGGAGAAGGGGTAAGCGGGGGGCAGGAGCAGGGGGGAGGGGGACACCCTGACATTAGCAAGGAGGAGTCTCTGGGAGCAGTTCCAAGGCAGAGGGCAGGAGTAGCACAGGGCAGTGGGAGGAGGGACTCTGAACTGCCGGCAATTGATAGCCTGCTGGGCGGCTGCCGCACAGGGAACTTAGGGGAGCGGGGAGCTAATATGGGGGAGCTGCCGGTCCACCCTGGTTCCAAGCCCCCACCAGCTCGCTGCGACGGGCTGCTCTTCCTGCAAGCCGTGGACAAAGCAGGCGGCTGCCAAACGACGTTAGAAGGGAGCCTTGCGCAACTTTAAACGAGCCCGTTCCCTAATTGACCAGCAGCGAAACCCGTTAACCGGGACGACTTTAAGTGAGGAGTTACTGCACTTGTAAACGCGCAGCTGAGATCAAAACATTGGGATTCATGTTACGTTTTGGGGATCAGAATTTTGACACAGATGTTAAACCTTATGAGAATGCTGCTTTTCAGTTAATACCTGTAAACAGGTTTGAAGCGGATCACAGCAGAGAAACCATAAAAAAACCTGGTTTGCTGTGTGTGAATGGGGAAACTGAGGCATGCTGCCTCATGGCCTTGATGGCTGGATGTCAAGAGAACTATAACACAAACTGCCTTCGAGCTAGGCCGTGACTAACCCTCTTGCAGTAAACTAAGAGGTGTGACACTCTGTACCTCGGGGGGACACCCTGCACCCCCATGTTCATCCTTGTAAAATGATTGTGTGGGATCCAATTCAAAATTTGTCATGTTGGGTGTCTTCAGAAGGCTCGTGATGCACTGAGCATGGTTGGTATAGTGATGTTACAGCAATGTTATAGTGATGTTATAGGTTGTAATTTCATGTATATAGTTATGAGGCTGAGACTGTGTCCTCATGGCTTTAAATAAGCCCAGGCAAAATTCTCCAGGAGCCGAGGGGCAGTTCACACCTCATCAGGGCATGGATGGGATCAACCCAGCCCAGCCTCAGAGGAACAAAGGACACTGGCTGAGGCAGCAACAAAGGATCTGTTGGACTCTCCAGTGAGTCACCCCCCTTCCCTTGGTCAGTTTGGGACTGCGATGAGGTAATGCTCACCTGACCCTGAAGTGGGGGGCAAAGCCAAGAGGGAAGAAAGGACATGATAAAAAGGAGAGACGTTTGCCCTGCTCTCTCTCTCTTCCACCTCCATCGACAGACACCACCACCCAGCGACTGAAGCGCTGATCGAAAGGGAGAGCCTGGCTGTAGAGCGACCAGCCACCTGTGGTGAGAAGCATCTAAGTTTGTAAGGGCGCTGAAAGTGTTAAGATGGATTGACACATGGGCGATGGGTGGGTGGACGGATGGGGAGAAGGGTAGATGGGGGGGATAGGTGGATGGATGGATGGGGAGAAGGGTAGATGGGGGATAGATGGATTGGCAGAAGCACATGAAGAGGAATTGGGATGGATTAGTGCAGGGGTCTCAAACTCAAATGACCATGAGGGCCACATGAGGACTAGTACATTGGCCCGAGGGCCGCATTACTGACACCTTCCCCACCCCCGCCGCCCTCGGCCCCGCCCCCACTCCACCCCTTCCATGAGGCCCCGCCCCTGCCCCGCCTCTTCCCACCCCTTCCCTGCCCCCATTCCAACCCCTTCCCCAAAATACCCACCCCAACCC